TACTTCATTACACCTTTCAATAGTATTTCAACATAATTTTCTCAAACGTTTAAAATTATTTAATCCTGTTTCTTATATGTCTTCTTTTTCTGTTAGAACTGAAGCACATATTTGAAAAATTGTAGCAAGTCGTTCATTTTACGCTTCTGAGAATAAATGAAGAATTAGTTTATCATTGAGCAACTTGCATGGACAATCAAATTAAATAACTTTTCAGCACATTTATTACATAGTTCATATAAAAGTTTATAGAAAATATTCTTTAAAAGTATTATACTTTATTTTTAAATTATACAATTATTAAAATAAATTGTGTTTATATAAATACAATAGATTTAGCTTTATACTTTTTAAATAATTTATGAACTACTATGTGCTTTATATAAGTCCTCTGATGAAAGGACAGAAAATCGACAGAGTCGAGTTATCAAGGTCTCCAATTCATCTCGTTTGACAAAAAAGGTTGCAAACGGTTCACCGAAAAGAATTTGCTTCTTGCGAATTTCATTGAATCCATGTCAAACGTGCATATCCTCTTAGTGACAGGAAGAAGTTAATTGGAAGTCAAGATACGAAGTTTATATGTCAAAAAGGTTTAAATTCTCTAGTTCTCCTTATGCGTTGCCTTGACGCTGCTCGTCGAAGCATCAAAATAAATCGAGTCATTTCTGTAAAGGTCACGTCAGATCGCGAAATTCATGGAAATCATACGATAACAACTCAGTGTCGTTGCATAATTATTAATGCAGTTTTTCAGAGAGTAATTTATTGCGCTTCTCTCGATTACCTTGTGTAATGAGATAAGAAATATTTCTATCTACCGAATGGATCATTATTACGTATCGCAAAATTGCAATGTTTTTGCCGTTTGGAATTTGAATTAACGTTGCTTCTGATAAAATAAATATGTATTTTGCCCCACATACTGCGTGCTATAGTTCAATTTACGTTTAAACAGACAACAAAAATAGAAGCAAATCAAAAGTTAAAAAGAAATCTTACATCCATGTTTTTTTTCTAAAACTTTTCTTCTCAGAAAAAGTTCTTAACTTTTTATTACTCGAAGATCATCGATTTTTCTTAACGTTTTGAAAAAAAACGAAACAAAAGAGAATATCTGGTTGCCAGATTCTAGCATTAAAATATCATTATGCTTTTTAATGTCCTGTAATTTAGTTGTAATTTAAAAGATAGAAGATAATAAAAGAACAATCGTGCAGATAACAAAAGTACATAAAGTTCAATACATCCAATACATCATTTTGCGCCGCGATACACACACACACACACACACACACACACAATGTGTGTGTTAAAACTACATTTAGTCTTTAAAGTGCACTATCATCACAAGCGACCGGTTCAAAGCGAGCTTATTCATGTGAAGCAGAATTACTTGAAAAAGCTCTTCTGCGTAAATTTCAGTCCAACCATTTTTTTTAATTTTTGTTTCTCATGTTCGCTAGTTGTTAAATGTCACATTTCAATATTTAAAGCGGTTTATAGAAAAAGGTACAATATATTCTCTTTAGCTGAAATTAATTTTATGAAATTAAAATAATACTAAAATCTGATATACATTATCTTTAGAGGAATAAATTTATAGAATAAATCAATAAATACCTTAAAAAAAATTTTTATTCCAAAAAATAATACGTGTATGTATTAGATTTGAAATAACTAATTTTAAAAGGTAATCACTCGAGATGTTATTTTATGTATACTTTTTATACACTTATAGAATCAATCCGATAAATGTCATTCAAAGACATTAAAATTTGTCGTGATAATTATGTAAAGGCTTAATGTACGAGAAAGGTAATGTTTATAAGCGAAGCAATTATATGGTTCGGTATTATTCTTTAATTGGTCTTTACGTGATATAACTTAATTACGTAATATATTTTAATCATTCCGAATTAGCGCTATGAGAGGATTACAGGACGCGCGTAAAACAAGTCGTTTTCCTTTTTCTGCAACAGCTTTGAAGATTCATGTCAGCCCGAAGACGAAGGAAATCCTAGACACATTTGGCACATTCGAACTTGTCTGCAGAGGAGAAGTTATATTGAAGGTAAGTTCTTGATAAATGCGATTTTTCCTCAATTTTAAAATACGTTTCTGTTTGTTTTGCTTTTTATCTTGCGAACTCAGTTGTTGCTTTTTTCCTCGAGAGCAAAAGGAAGAATCCATATAAGTTTATATTGTGTGAAACTGTCAGGTGCTTTTTTATGTGGCAAATGTTAGCGAAGAGAATGATCATTGCGCGAGTTCAGTTGCGATCTCGTTTTGCAGATTGCGACGGTAATGCAAATCTTTTTATTCTCGTGCATCCTTGTACAATTTTTTGCACGTTAATCTTCATATTCAATTTAACGAAGGATTTTATTTACACTCACGAAGTAAAACATTCCATTGCAATAACTCAGAGTTGTTTATGACGCTTATATTTATTTAAAATATCTCTAATTTATTTTTATATTATACCAGGAGTGGCCAATCTTTTTATCTGGTGTGCTATTATGGAGCTCTTTCGAGATTTTTGGCGTCATTTTGCTGCAAAATTAAGAAAAAAACTTAATACTCATAAAAAACATAACACTTAATTTCTTCTTTTAAAAGCAAAAAGACTTCTTTTATTTAACAAAATTGTTTTCTTATATTATGTTCTGTTTTGTTTTATAGTTTTTTTTTTATAGTTTTGTTTAAGTTTATAGTGTTATTTTATTGTGCTATTTTTTTGTTTTCAAAATTTTTTTCTAACAGCGTATTTTTTTAGAGCTGCTATTGAAAATATCTTTGTGTGTCGTGAAAATATCTTTGTGTGCCGTGAAGGTTGGCTACCTCCTGCTGTAATAAAGATAAATATATTTAAAATACAAGTTTATAGAATATGAGTTTTTCGTACCTTGTTATAATTTTTATTAGAATGGTGTTAATGAATGAGACCTCTCTCTTCAATTTTATTCTAACGCTTTACGTTTTATAAAATATTTATGTAATAAATATGCATACATAATAAATATTTATATTTCATAAAACATTTATATAGATTTTATCGGATGTTACCGGTTCCAGTTTTTAACGCATAACACAACGGTCCTTCAACAAGGGGCTCGACTTTCTCAACTTCGACAAATCACATTTACACCTCCGGGAGGACCTGAATTGTAAATTGCAATCGTATCCGGCGGTTAGCTTCTATATGCGCATTTCTCTTGTTACATATTCAGAGGTGCTCTACCATAACCGAGTGCGTTATGCTCTCTTGCTTAATACACATGCATCATGCGCATCACGTCGCCCGTTGTCCACAGGTGCGATCTGTCTCCGTTTTCCCAGAAGAGAACAATTCCCGCTGGTGGCAATCAATTTCAGCTTCGCATCGTCGAAATTATAGTAGTTCGTCCAGTGTGTCACTGTTGTCCATGTGATAAAGCTGGATGACACGATGGGGACGCGCCGTAGTTCCGAGATCGCAATTCCGATATCACGGGGATCATCGATATCTCAAGTGAACGGCAATAATAAGCGACCGTTATTACAGATGTCCTATTTATTTGTGATTCGATTGGTTCGCCTCGAACGCACAATCGTAAATATCGTTGACTTGTTGGTCGATTAAATACATCTTCTCGAATAATGGACGAAGGCGTCCACGGAGTGATTGGATCGTTTACCGTACAATTCGGGTCAAAGTTCAGCGGTCGCGAGTAAGCTCGAACGGGCGCGCGTGCATTTGCTGGCATTCGCGTAACTTTGCGGCGGTATGCAATTAATTAGTAAGATAGCGCCAGTGGAAATACGCACGGCAATTCGCGCATAGTAATAGGACTGGGGCTATCGACCGGGAATTAAAATTCAAGTACTTCGTATATCACTCGACTATTGTACACGCTACCGCTTATTTGAATATTTCACGAACTGGCCGAAGTTAAACGCATTCGCAGATCGCTATCGCGTAACAAAGCGATAATAGCTTCTCCTTTGTTATTGAATCCTATCGCAGGGCGACTTTAATTAAATCTCTGCAACTACGTACCTATACGTACATTGCGTTGACTTTGATTCTTAATTACCATCTACCGTAACTAACTATGAACAATGTAATTTTGTTAGCAACCAATCGTTTCCCGTCTCTATGAATAAATTATCCTGTACATTGTCGGTAACAAATATTTAAGAGCTGTATTAATTGTATAAGTTCTTATAGTTCAGCTTTAGTAAATAAACTAGGAATGTTATATTAAAAATATATATACTTTGAATAAAATTTTATAAAATATTAATGTTAATTAATTTAATATTAAAAAATATTAAATTTTATCAGATGTTATAGTGAATAATATCAGATCATTTTAATTTAAAATAATCTATCGTTTTCGCCAATGTTCGCAGGGTAAAGGTCCGATGACTACTTATTGGTTGATGGGCGAAAAACCGACGAATAATAATGTGCAACAGGCAAATCCGACAACGACCGTCGGCCAAATATCGATTCTTCAGGATCAACCTTCTATCACCACGCAAATTCAAACGAAGCAACAGGAGCAGCGGGCGCTCTCCGTCAACCAGCAACACAAATTTCAGGGTCAATCAGACCAGCCGTACCCGACCCAGCAATCGATTCAGTCGAGGAGTCAGGAGCCCCGACAGCAGGGACATCCGGGTCAACAGAGACCGCAGGAATTGCAGCACCAGGGTTTAATGACCGCCCAATCGCGGTGC